AATAAGTGCTCGCTTTCCTCAGCTGAACTCGGGGGAGTTTCCTCACTAATTATAGGAATTTATATACAACTTAGAAATGTACAGAAACCCACAATAATTTCCCCAAATTTCCTCAAGATTTCCATGTTGTCGTCGACACATGTACAGTAGTTAACCATGTGCACATTCTCCCACACTGAAATTATACCCGTTTGACATTTGTAGATTATACGAGCCATAGGTGAAACGTTTATCAACTCTAACCAGTCAACAGAAAAAGGGAGGGAGAGCGCTAGTCTAGAGCGCCAGTTGTGGATTGGGTTCTTTTTCCGAGTGGAAACTAAATTATACACGTCTGACATGGTAGATTATACGAGCCATAGGTGAAACGTTTATCAACTCTAACCAGTCTAAGCAGTCTGAGGGCACTGCCGCCGTAGACTGACTACTGGCATGGTCTTACACCTGAGTGTCTTTGCCTCATCGGTACCTCTAGGGGCGGTTCGCACCAAGCCACTCTAGCAGACCGGGTGAAATAGGATATTCGAACTATAATCTAACACTGTAAACTACTCTGCAGCATGTATGGGAACCCAACATTCGCGTCCCTCACATCCTCATCCACTCGATGACAGGATAGAGATTGTCCAGGATTGTCCGATAACACTATGTGAGGCATGTCGCAGTTATCAGAGGATTGTTTCCCATCATTGGCTGCACTCCTTCCGATGGACTCGTCGAGAGCCGTGCCGAGCTTCACGAACCGGTCCTCTTCTACTCAAGGAGACAATGATTCCTCCCCAGCCTATTACTACTTGAAAGTATACGTCGGGGGGTTGCCTCGTGGCGCTACCGAAGCCGATGTAGTATTACTCGGGTGCTGCGGATGGGTGGAGTCTGAGTTGTTCGTGTCACAGAGAAACTCACGGGCAGACGCGTCTTATGACTTTCTTATGACGATGTTTTTTCCCGCGAGGATCTGATAAACTTCGTTTAGGGAAGAATCGGAGATATTTTGCCCCTCTCAAAATTAATGGAAGAGAATTTTCTCGCATTTAAAAAAATGTGAAAAAGCGGATGAGGTTATAGTAATGATCCAGCAGTTATGAAAAATATTTTTGGGATTTCCGAAGAGTCCCCGTGTGAAACGGTGGAGGTATCTCTCGTATTTAGGAAATCTTCGCAGTGCGCGTATTCAGATGCTGACATATTTCTCGCGGTACGGTCCGGTGGCTGACACGTGGCTCTACCGATCATCCGACCCTGCCAAGATGAACTTGCCTCCCTACGGCTTCGTGACTTTCCGCAATGCCGCTGATGCTGATGCGGCCGTCGTGAGCGAGCACGATTACCAAGGTGCGCATACTCTGCAGGTGATGCCAGGGGGATGAGCAGATTGGTCTTCTCTATTGCTGGGAATCTGGCTATTAAGCTGAATACTCTTGCCTAGTTGGGTCATATGGAAAGTTGGCCCGTTAATGCCTCTTTTTTTATTAGCAGAATATTTCGCGGGAAACTATAGAAGAGGCATGATGTTTAGCACATGTTCCTTTCTATGAACCCATGGGCTTACACACTCATGGGTTAGGAGACTCTAATAGCGGGATGGGATTTTTTACCAAACTTTAATCAGAAATGTATGAGGTGGTTTAGCTGGGTTGGCATCTGGTCCTACTCTTGATGTTTATAACACTGTAAGGGCTACGGTGATCTCACATGTCTTGGTGGGAAGTGAGCTCATAAAAGTACCGTTTTTAATTTCGTTGAACTACGAGAGCTCCTCGGTGTGCGTCTTCTCATTTTCTTTTTCAAAGGACGCATGTGGTCATTTGGATTATTCAACGTGTGTGTATGAGACTTTACTTCAATTCGGATCATAAGCGATAGCTTCTACGACAGTTCACATGCGCGGTAGAGCTGCAGTAATATGGCCATCAGGTGAACTACGCTACTATGAAGAAGAGTGTCTCGTCGTCTTCTGGGACGTTAGAGTCGGCTATACCGAGTGGTGCCCTGGATGACGCGGCGGTGGGGTCTATAGCTGCATCGGGCATCACCATTGCCACCTCAACTGAGGCTGAGCTTGGAGAGTTCTTCTCACAATGGGGATTGGTAATGCGGGCTTCTACCGACTTAATACCGGTTTCGGACACGTGCAAGAAAGTGCCATGATTTTGTTTCGGAAATCGATCGCGGGCAGGTTCCGTGCAATATGACTATATCGAAGAACCTCATATTCGAAATTCCAGCTTTTAGGTCGTTCTGTAGAAAAGATAACCTGTGCACCCGTATTTTGAAGGGTACATACTGTATCTCTTCAAGAATAGCTGCTACACCCTTTTATGCCACGTCCATCGGGCGCTCCTGCTCAAGCCTTGAGTTAGCGAATCTTTCATTACTCGATAACTGACATTCGAAGATGACTGAGAAGCGCCTTAGCAGTTGTTTTCATTGATATAGCTTAGGTTCTACTAGTGCTGAAGTCGGCTGAAGACACATCGAAATGCTTCGTTCAATATTCAGCTAGAGAGGGTGCAGTTAGGATACTAGCGGAACCGGCTCTGAACTTCAAGGTGAGTTATAATAATTCCGTGG